TGAACCTTTTTATCTATACTCTATATCATCCCAGGTCTTTCACCCAATACTTTGGGCTACTGCCTACCTAAACTAAAATATGCCAACTTCAACGTTCCTGATCTTCTTGGTGTAGATGCTGCCTCCTGAATGTAGTGACCTGCTAATGGAAGAGTACATGGGGGACACTGAGGATGCCCAGACCCTCCAAGCACAGTTCACAGAGATGAAGGAAGACTTCATGTTTGTGATCCCTGCACTCCAAGTAGCACATTTTCAGCGTGAGTACATCGTTGACAAGGCTTCATGGAGACTTTGGTCATGGATGAGCACTGTGGAGTGGTGTGGTGTCCAAGTTTCCTCATGTGTAATTTAAGAGAGTGAAATCTGGGTACAAAGGAGAAAATGGGTTGCTGATACTCTATTGACCTAACAAAACCACTCAGCTGGAAAGGCCATGGGCACTGAGTAGTCAGGGCTTTTCAATACCTAGTGCTCCAACAGGGGGCTCCTTCCCCCTTTTAACTTTTGTGATTCCTAATAACTTTTTATCAAGGTACCTAATCACCAAATATGTATCAGAAGGAATTTCAGGTGAAGGACCACTATGTTGTCACTCTTTGTCCCACCTCCAGGTTCCCATATTCCTGTCTACCTCTATGAGTTCCAACATCAGATCACCTCTCTCAAGGGTATTAGACCACCCCATGTGAAGACTGACCATGGAGACGAGGTTCCTTTTGTCTTTGGGTACTTCTTCTGGGAAATGAAATATAAGTATTCCTTTCTTTTCATGAACTAAATGAGGTCCCAAATGATATCCTGGGGCACTCCTGAGCTCTCAGTCCATTTGAGGAAACCTAGGATCTGGAAGTGGAGACAATTAAATGTATGCCATATTATATCACAAAAACCATGCCCACTTTGGAATATACAATCTTTCCAATCTAGCCACTGATGGAGGAGCTGAGGTCACATGAGGGCAGGAAGTCAACTAGAAACTTGCATGCATATTGGATTCGGGGTAATGAAGAAGCAAGGCAACAAAGTCAAAAGTTTGAGGTTTGACAGCAGTTGGGATGATGCATTGAAGAATGAGTTGGCAGTTGCATGGGGTGGCATACACTTTGTCTTTCTTATGACTCGAGCTGACTTTACTGAGGAGGAGAAGCTGCTGAGCAGGAGGATGATGAAGTACTGGGCCAACTTTGCAAGGCATGGGTGAGAACACATCCCTGAACCTTACATGTGTGGGTCCCTATCTAGGGCTCCCTTTTGGATGGTGGCTTTCTAGCATGCATGATAGAGTCTTTTCTACACAATAGGACATTTATACAGATACTTTGTAGGTGTCAAAGACTGGTCCTCTCACAGTGACCCACCAGCTTGGGCTATAAAGCTCTGGTACTGTTTCTTAGATCTTGTTTATTACAGGTAACATAAAACAGATCAGATAGTCTCCTCCACATGAAGTAGAAACTCATAAGTGACACTTGTATGCACATATCAGGACACCTGACCCATCAGACCTCTTAACCAGTGTCCTAATTGTTCCACTGCCCTGACAAAAAACATAGAATTTGGATTTGGATGAGTGTAAACTTACTGTTCTTTGCTGACTGCCATATCCACAGGAACCCCAACAGTGAGGGTCTACCCCACTGGCCTGTGTTGGACCAAGATGAGCAGTATCTGCAGCTGGATACCCAGCCTGCTGTGAGCGAAGCCCTGAAAGCCAAAAGGCTGCAGTTTTGGACCAAGACTCTGCCCCAGAAGATTCAGGAGCTAAAGGGGTCTCAGGACAAGCACACAGAGTTTTAGTACCCTGTGTCAGGAAAGGTGTTTGGGGTTTAAAGTTGATAGTGTTACAAAGACCATTTAATTATTTCTATTTGTTCCAACATTTATATGAGCATTTGTAACCTCAGTCTTTGAGATTTCATGTATGAAAAACACTCTGTATGCTATTCCTTATTATTCTGGGCAAACTTTGATTAAATCCAATAAATTCTCAAATAACAGTGTAGATGTGTCAGCCCCAAAGTTCCTCCATCTTTTAAACTGAAACTAGGCTCATCCATCTTTCCTTTTTTTTTTCCTTTCTTCCTTCTTTCCTTCCTTCCTCACTGCCTCACTGCCTTCCTGCCTGCCTTCCTTCCTTCTTTGCTTCCTTCATCCCTTTCTTCCATTATCTTCTTCGCATCTTTACTCTCCTCTTCTCCAACTCCCAGACCTTCTTCAAATAAAGTGGATGCTTCAGGGACTGTTGGCTGCAGGAGAGTGACTCTGTCAAAATCCTGTGTCTCTACTCTCAGCAAGTCATGTTTTCTTATATTTAAAATTGACAACTGAAAACCTGCTTTCCCTAAGCCCTATTACCTTCATCCACTCAGAATGCTATTCCCAAAAGATCATAAACTCCACACTGCACAGGGGACAAGCCTGCATAGGGTATGCCAACTTTCAATGGCCAGGCTTCTAGCAGGAAGTGCCCGGCTTGGGGGGCTGCTGCAGGCTGAAGCACCAGCAAGGCCAATGTCTTTCGTGACCACAGTTTAAACAGGCCCTTTGTGGGGTTGACTTAGGCTGGTCCTGGATGGGATGGGACATGCAGAACCACCCTGTACACTCTGCAGAGATGGGGTTGGCCTCAGGGCAGCTGCTAAGGCTTGGGTTTGGAGAGTAGCCTTCTGCTGTAGCTAAGCCTTTCAGGGAAAGTCATCCACCTCCTCTCAGACATTAAAGACTTCAAAAGTAATTTTCTCACCAACTCCTGTATGAGGGTATTTCAGAAGGTTTGTATACAGTTTATACAAATTAGAAAATTATCTGAAATAAAACAAAGTATATCATGTGCTAATATGCGGGGCCAGAAGGAAAAACATGGGGGTCGTGACCTTATCTGGCTGACAGACAAATGAAGTTATGGGGAATGGCTTTTTTACAAAAATGAGATATTCAAATTGATATTCCTGCAATTCCAGAGACAGCTTCTGATGAAATGATGGATGGAATGTCAGATGATTCTGGGGATTGTATTGATATAGTCATCAAAAACAATCCCAGGCTGTGTCAATCATCTAAATAGCGGATATTTCAGGGATTGAGTTTTCAAGTTTATGGGGGGTAGGCACTGCTGATATATCAATGCCCCCACCCCTAAAGTGGTTGTCAGACAAGCCTATGTGTGTAGAGCCATGGTCCTTAACTAAGGAAAACTTACAGACACTTGAGTATCTGGTATAAGAGCAGCTGTAGAGTCAACATATTGAAGAATCTACCAGTCCACAGAATTGCCCTGGTGTCTCCATGAGCCACATTGTAGCACCAGATGCCATCCAGGCACTGCCTCCCTGGTGGTTATGTCATGATGGCCCTGGTCATGATGTGTGTATCCTGGAGCCAAAGTAAGGTCTCTGTCTCTCTGTCTCTGTCTTTCTATCACACACTCACACACACATACACACACACACACACACACACACACACACATACACTCCTCTGTATCTCTCATGTTCCTCCGAGTCACTCCCTCCTTCCACAGAACAGAACCTGGGTGTCTTCATTTTACATGTTCACTGTGGCCATGGACATCATCAACACGGGGCCTCTGAGTGATGGTGCAGTGAGTAGCAGATCATACTGGGATTTCCCAAGCTGAGCTACAGAAATGTCTAGGATTAAGAAGCACAGGGATGCCCAGCACCAATTGGGATCTGGTTTCTCCATCTCAAGATTGGAGGATCTGGGAAACACTCAGCTCTCACGGTCTAGCAATTCTTTGGTCGGGGAACTTGATGTAGAGAGAGCAGCTGCCAAGAATTGCTCGAACAGCAGAAAGGACAAGAGTGCATTGGAGGGGTGAAATTAAATCAAAGGAGCCCATGTTGATATGCTGATTAGAGAAACTGGGGAAAACAGTGCTATGTTCTGCCAGGGAAGCAGAGAGACACAAGGAAGAAGTTCTGTAGTACCATGCTGTAAAGTTCTGGATTTTTATGTGGATAATAAAAACATTAATCATAATTTGGAGCCAATGTCACTAAAGGCTGTCTGACACTGATCCCCACAAAACTTCCTCCAGAGAGTCAGGCTGGACTGGGTATGGGCTCCTGGTCCTGCATTCTTTCATACATCCTGTTGGAGTTCCTTGCAATTCTGAAACTTCTATTTTTAGATTTGTATCTCAACTTGGTGATACAAAGACCCCACTGTTGGAGATATTAAGGCCCCATGAAATGTTGGTCATGTGATAAAAAGTGAGAGAAATCAGGGTGTGGAAAGAAAAATTTCCTCCAATTTTGATGACCTATGTTCTATCTTGAGATTTATCAGTGGAAGGAGAAGATACACTAAACACAAATTCTCCTCTCACCTCCATATGTGAACCAGAGCCCAGGAGCATCCACACACAGGTATATCCATGAGCACAACAGATGTAAACAATTAAAATTGTTTGTTGAATAGATGAGTGGCTGTTAAGTTGATCTTGGCAGGAGCTGGCCACTAGAGGGGACACATCATAACTTTAAAAGCAATGGAACGCCAGTGTTTTCTTGAAGTAAATGTGACCTAAAAGGGAAAGGGTACATGCAGATGCTAAGATAACTGTAGGGACAAGGTACCCTGGAAGCAGGCTCAGTAAACTGAGTCTTCAAAGAACAGGTGTCTTGAGGTAGTGTAACCTCCTACACTTACCTAATTCTCCTGTGACATCTAGACTGTGACCTTCTCACAGAAGCTCTCTGACTTCTCCTATTACAGCTTTCTGACCAGTTATGGGGACAAGATTTCTGGTATCCCAGACAAGCTCCAGATTCATTCTGTGCCCTTCCAGGAGGTCAGAGAGAGAACAGACACAGCAGACATGACTTTTTTCTGCCTCCTGGCCATTGGTTCCTGTCACACGTGACTAATCACTTCTCCTACAATGAGAACTTTCACCTACAACACCATGTTCCCCGCCTACATTCTTTCTTGTTTAAATTCCTGCCTGGGCAAGGTTCACAGTTTCTGCTTCCTGTTTGTGAAACATGATCGTCCTAGCAGCACAGACTCAGGCCTGAGAGCCGACCATGCCACGGAACCAAATGCATAGCTGGCTGAATGCTGGGCTCTTTGGGATCCTGCTTCTTCTTATCCATGTGCAGGGTGAGACTCACTAAACTGGCAATGGGGAATGATTGGAGTCAGAGCTGCCAAGTTCTGTGAATCAGAGCTGAGCTTGTGGGAGGAAGGCATGGGGGCGGGGAGGGAACTGATTGAAACCATAGGTCAGACATTCTCAAACTGTAGGTCACAACCATTGGAAAATCTGTATATCCGCTGGCATTAGAAACACCCAACCATAAAATTACTGTTATTGCTACTTCCTAATTTAATGTTGCTCTTGAGTAATTTCTCAGCTCCTAAGAGCATCAGAAATATGTGTTTTCTAATAGTCATGACCCACAGGTTGAAGAATGTCACAATAGAAAAAAGATCGGAAACATGTGTCTACTAATGACACATACCAATGTCTACCCTGAAACATGCACACATATTTTGTAGACCCAGAAGGACTGAGAGGGACAGACACATCAAAGATCCCTTCATATTGAGGAGACAATTCAGCATAAGGAGCTTTGGAGACAGCAGGAGACAATTCTAGGGAAAGTAAGAAGGCGCTCTTCCCTGCTTGGTGTAAGGGCATGACCATAGCTACTACTGACCTTTTGATAAAAATGACTAATATAATAAATTCATGTAGCCTAAGGGCTCTGAATATCTGACGACTTCTTTGGCTAGAGAAATCTGACACACTTCTTAATGGGAATAAAAAAATGTTCCAACCTGAGGGATAGGGAAGTTCCCACACTCACACACCACAGGTCAACTAAGGGCAGGGTGGCTGGGATCCATTCTCCAGCAAGCTGGTAAAAATGAGATGGAAATCTCACAATCTACTGGCAGCTGATTACAGAAAACTAACCCTGAAACATCTCTCCACCAGGTCAGGACTCACCAGAGGCCAGCCCCATCAGAAACACACACACTGGCCAGGTCCAAGGAAGCCTCATCCACTTGAAAGACACAAAATCTAGTGTCCACACTTTCCTGGGAATTCCCTTTGCCAAGCCTCCTGTAGGACCACTGCGCTTTGCTCCTCCTGAGGCCCATGACCCATGGAGTGGTGTGAGAGATGGAACCTCACACCCAGCCATGTAAGTTCTGGGACCCAGAGGGTTTCAAGCACAGGGGGAGACTGTGCTCTGAGCTCTGGCCATGCTGTACCTGTCTTGTAAATCTCAGCTATGCAGCAGTTTTCTCTATTTGTGGATGAGTGCCCCATGTGTTTTCTGGTAATGTACTAAGGCTAAGTAGAACAACTAAACCAGGCTCCTGGGTCAGAGCTTGGATGGGGAATAATGTGGAGGTACTATGGACAGAAACAAAGATAAAAATGTTCACACACTCCAATTAAGCAAAGTGTTCTCTACCACAATGAGGGAATCTCTAGACGTGATTAAATGTCACATATTCTGCATCAAGCTCCCTGAATCCAGGACAATGCACTTCAGGTCCTTGAGTACAGCAGTGATCGATACTTGCTAACCCCCTCCTCACAGTCATTGTGAAAACCTATAAGGCCGTGTGCCATTAACTGTGGAACAAGTATGTGTAATTAATTCCCTCTGAAGACACTGCAGACAAGAGAAGTTCCCTGAGAGTCTGTGCATGTGATGAAGGACTACCCACTACCCTTTAGGGCAGCATTGTCTACTGAATCCTCTAGTAGCTGAGTGAGTCCAATACTTTTATATGGGGATCTTAGATTGTTTTCTGTTGCTGTAATAAAGCACTGACAAAAGCATCTTAGGGAAGAAAGGTACTATTAGAGGCTCCAGATTACAATCCATCCTTTGTGGTTAAACACAGCAAATCAAAACTACAGGATCTACTCACATCACAACCATGCCCAGTGTGGTAGTTAGTGTTTTACTGCTGTGAACAGACACCATGATCATGGCAAGTCTTATAAAGGACAACATTTAATTGGGACTGGCTTACTGATTGAGAAGTTCAGTCCACTATCATCAAGCTGGGAACATGGCAGCATCTAGGCACTCATGGTACAGGAAGAGTTCTACATCTTGATCTGAACACTGCTAGCAGAATACTGCCTTCCAGGCAGCTAGGGTGAGGGTCTTATATCCCACACACATAGTGACACACCTACTCCAACAAGGCCACACCTACTCCAACAGGGCCACACCTTCTAATTTTGCAACTCCCTTGACTGACTATATACAAACCATAACACACAGGAAGAGAGACTAGAAAATGCTTGCATGCCTGCTAATACTTAGCTCACATTTCTCTTCTTATACAATTCTACGATTTTCACTACAGAGAGCCAAACATTTCCATGGAGACATCTACAAGTCTCTCCCTCCTAGACTTAGAAAGATTAAAATCCATCTAACTGGGGACTCCTTAGACATCTGGCTCCACTCTAGGGTTTAAGGAGCCTGTGGCCTTTCCCTTGGTCAGAAGGGACTTAAAGGGAGAATATGTGTTAGCAGGGAGTCTCATGAGGAACAACAGCTGAAAATGCCTGAGATAAAAATCTCCAGACACACAATGGGTTTTGATCACCATATAACTCTTGGAATATCTGTCTGCTATTTTCATCAGGTGTTTGCAAAATCATGATATGCTGAGTGAATTAGACCTGCCAGATGTGAAAATGATCCTGTCTTCCATCCCTGTGTCTGAGGACTGCCTGTATCTCAACATCTACACACCCGCCCATGCCCACGAGGGCTCTAACCTGCCTGTGAGTGTCAGGCTGTGGTCAACTTTGGGAGAGGGCATTGTTTTTTTCAAGATGATTACAAGGAACAAAAGCAACCTGAGTTCCACTGCAGAGTGGACCCAGATAAAGTTTAAGCTTACTTGAGGCAAAGGCTGTCTCAGGCATATGATGCAGATGAAGCCAGGGTATGGGACACTGAGCACTGGAGCATGGAGCCATCAAAGGCTTCAGATCTTTCATAAAACCAGAACTCATTCAAAAGCTCATGATCTGAAGAACCACTTAGGGGTTTAAGACCTCAACACTTCGGTCCCTCAAACTTATATATTTATGATTCTGTTGTGACAATGAGGGTTGATGATCTTTTCCATTTTTAATCTGGAGAGGTATCCATAGAGACACCTCTCTTTGATCCACTCTTAACAGCCTGAGTAATGATGACATCACTCTATACATAAAGGCATGAATTTAAACTGAGACACATGGTGGGAATGGGGTCTAGAAATACACTAATGGGAATGCTAGAGGGTCCTGACTGTGGTCAAGGCCCTGAGTCCTGAGGATTTTTATGTATTTGTGTAGCTGCACAGAGGCACAGAAGTTGATAGTCTAGTAAGCAGACAAGAGGGCTTGGACAGGCTTGGAGCTTCCTGGCTTCTCTCTTGACTTCTCCAGGTGATGGTGTGGATCCATGGAGGTGCACTGGTTATAGGATCGGCTTCCATGTGTGATGGTTCTCTATTGACAGCCACGGAGGACTTGGTGGTTGTCACTATCCAATATCGTCTGGGTGTCCTGGGCTTTTTCAGGTAAGGCCATTACTGGGCAACAGTAGCTGATCAGAACCTAGATAGCCTTTTGATCCATGTCCCTTCCACTCCTCAGCACTGGAGATGAGCACGCCAGAGGAAACTGGGGATACCTGGACCAAGTGGCTGCCCTACGCTGGGTCCAGCAGAACATTGTCTACTTTGGTGGCAACCCTGACAGTGTCACTATTTTTGGCGAGTCTGCAGGTGGCACAAGTGTGTCTTCACATGTTGTGTCCCCCATGTCCCAAGGGCTCTTCCATGGTGCCATCATGGAGAGTGGGGTGGCCCTGCTGCCTGACCTTATATCTGACACCTCTGAGATGGTCTCTACTGTAAGTGATTTCAGCCCTGCTGCCTAAGCCTTTATATTCTGGTACTCCAGTGTTCCATTTAGTGGGGAAATCAAGGACCATGGGAAATAATTTCTTTCCAATAATTTCTGAGAAATTTAGGGTTTAGCATCTACTCGCCTCTACTTCATATTGGATGAGTATGCTCTCTCTTCACAAACTAGTCTTTGTAGATTCTACCATTGGCAAAAATAAGTATCCATGTGCTTGGGAGCTGGTTCACTGGTTTCTAAAACTGCATGGAGGGCAAACCTGAAGCCATAAGTTCAAATCCTGAGAACACACATAGGGCTGGAGACAGTAACTTGTATCTGTAATTCTCATGTTACTATGGTTAGGTGGGAGGCAGAGACAAGAAAGTTCTTGGATATTCATAGACCTGCTCATTAGTGTAGGCAGCAACAAACCAAGAAGTTATCCTGTCAAATAAGGGGGACAGTGAAGATTGAGACTTTGTCCTTTAACCTTCATGTGCAAACCCTTAGACAATTACACTTTCCTGATACGTGAAACACAGAAAAATAGGTGGAGAAAACAAAGCTACCTTACACATATGTAGTTCAAAAGGGTCCTGCCTGCTAGCTGTCACGTTTGAGCAATAGGAAAATGGAAATGATATGAATTTATTTCAATCCACACAGCACACACTACAGTGTGGGAATTAGGCACAACTGCACTGACTTGGAATTGAGAACTCTTGATCTTGCCTCATTCCCTTTGCAGACAGTGGCCAAGCTATCTGGATGTGAAGCCATGGACTCACAAGCCCTGGTGGGCTGTCTGAGAGGCAAAAGTGAAGCAGAGATTCTAGCTATTAACAAGGTAGGGAGAATTGTGTGTCTGGGACAACCTAGTCTACATGATGTGGGGTTTTGAACCAAATACCTCATCTTTATGATTTTGTGTTCTTTCAGTTCTGTGTGCAAAATGAATATCAAGATAGGCTAATCTAAGTGTAGACTCTCCTCTAGAGTGAGCAGATAATCCTGAAACTAATGAGAAATGAGAAAAAGGTGGAGCTGACTCAGTCGACATCAGGGTATTTATTTCACTAACCATCAGCATTGACCACTAATGCCACCCAGGTCTTCAAGATGATCCCTGCTGTGGTGGATGGGAAGTTCCTACCCAGGCATCCCAAAGAGTTGTTGGCATCTGAGGATTTTCACCCTGTCCCCAGCATCATTGGGGTCAACACTGATGAGTTTGGTTGGACCGTTCCAATTGTGAGTCACAATTCCAATCCTCTGGGAGCCTGGAGACCATATGTATGCTAAGCCATAGAAAATACATCTTTAATCCAAGTCCAGCAGGCCCCACACTTAACATTGTCTTCTGCCTACCAGGTCATGGGCTCTGCTCAGACAATAAAGGAAATAACCAGAGAGAACCTGCCAGCTGTTCTAAAGAATACAGCAGTACAAATGGTGAGATACATCTGGTCCTCTCCAAATATAGAGGTCCTTCATGCCTCCTTTCAGTAGGTATTGTGATTCTGTGTGGAGTCCTCAGACCTGTACCCTATGTCATCCCAGACCACATTCTCCCAGATAGCAAATGTAGCTGCCTACTGAACCTATACTATGCTGAACCTCATTGTTCCTTATCTCCTGGTGTAGAAGCTGCCTCCTGAGTGTG